GAGTTGCAGAGTTGGCTCCAAACACCCTGCGTCAAATGCTTGGGGTCACCCGGGCCCAAGCCTGCAATAATGACTTGGGGCACCAAGCAATTTTGGCCCAACCAAATATGATGCCGACGCAGCGCCAAGCAAAAGACGGCGGCTAAACATAGTGCAGCCTTGCGCCTTCGAGACTTTGACGGACATGATTCAACAAGCATGCTGATTGATCTCGGGCCAGGGGCTGCACATAAAGCTCGGCTAAGATGTCAACCCACCTTTGCGCACTGGATGCGCAAACCTATGCAGTGGACATGGGGCTGGCGATGGCTACTGTCAGTTGTTTCTTAGCTTAGTCTTGGGTTCAAGCAAACTACCTTGCTTCGAAATGTTTTCTTTTGGAGTGATGCATTCAATGACTGCAAGTATCTGGTGGGGGAACCCAATATAGACCCCAAGGTACTATCATCCGTATCATGGGGACCCCCGAAATGGCACCCCACCCTCATTTAGAGGAACCCCTAACATTGTCCATGTTCTTCTCAAATTTGATTCTCCAATATCCCTAAACCTAAACCACAAGTAGTAGCTTCCATTAACTTTTCCAGTATTCTTCCACGCCCCCGATAAGATCCTATATAACCCCTATAGAACCCCTACGAAATCCCATTTAATCCATATTTAGCACCTACACAACCCTATATTTGCCCTGATTTAGAATTGCGGCGTGTTGCTTCTTAGCGGGCCCTGGCCTAAACTGGATTAACCACAGACCCTGGGTCCCTTGCCTAAAGCCCTGTGGCATCTTGGGATAATATTGGGATAATGGAAAAGAAAATGGAAGGTACTACAGTATATTGGGGTTGCATAGTAAGAGCTGCAGCCCTCAAGGCGCCTTGCAGGCGTGCGTTCTTACCCCACCCCGCACTCTGTTAGTGATTGTAAGGGCGGGTAAGAGGGGGGGCACAATGACCAGGTAATAAGGTCTTCTGCAGGGGTAAGATTGAGGATAATGGAAAAGAAAATGGAAACTACTGGGATTGTAGGGGTTATATAGGGTCTATATTATGCCGTGGCGCAGCTTCGTTGCCGTTTGAGAGTGTGCGATACAACTCATTTGGGTGCCGTAATTCCTCCCGACAGGAAATATTCGGACTTTGACGGTGTGATAGGTTCTTCGCTGCTTGACTTTCCCTGCTTCATGGTTCTCATCAGGCTTCTGGATACACAGGGCTCTCCTATGATGCTTCAAATCCCTCCACATTTGGCCCTAGCTCGTTTCGAGTGCATCAGCCGGGGAAGCTCCGCTTGGTGACAAAGAGTGGATCTATGCCATGTGGAGCACCCGAGTGGCATGCCTCTTGGGATGGAATCTGGATGCTTGATGCTAAGTTTCTCTGGGGATACTTTGCAGCGTGTTTTGTTAGGCTGCCGTTTGCCGGCCGCAGACGGTCTGCTAGGGTATCTAAACACCATGCTTCTCATCACTGAGTACGTGGCGACGTTTACTCTGGGTTGTTCATTCCCGCCCCCTGCAGGGCATCGTACATGTCGTTGGCCAGGCGGGCATGCAAAGAGCCAGGACGAAGAGTTGAGCACACGCGATGTGGCGATACGCTGTAGCACCTGCTTTTTGTGGAAGCCCATGAGAAGTGTTGGTGATGACGTTTCCTGGGAATGGCTGAAATACAGTTTGGGTTGGTGTTTTGCTGCTTCCTTGTCTTCGAATGCATGGTCACCTACTTTGTCCCGATCAAGTACATGGCAAGATGCCACAACACATGCAACGTTTATTGCAGAGAGCCGGTCTGATCCCAAGTCCAGACAGCAGTGGTGGGCACTTTCAGGGTTTTCTCTACTTTGTTTCCCAATGCTTGAAGCGAAGGTTGGGGTCAAGGGCGTGGCCTCGGGAGCTGGAACAAGTTCTCGTAACTTCATGCTATGGTACCCCGGCGGAAGAAGCCCAACCGACACATACGTCTGCTGGACTCTCAGGTGGTCCAAGACCTGTTCGCGGTCGCACTTTACTGGCTGTTTTGCTAGGCCTGTAGGGGGAAGCTCAGCCTACAACCTTAGCTGCGATTTACAACGTGCTTATCTCCGGACTCACCGGCCTTGCTTGAGCGAGCTGCTACCTGTGTAGTGTACAGTGCTGCCATTTCATCCTGGCTGTTTTGCTAGCCCCCTAGGAGTAAGCTCGGCTTACGATTTGGTCGCGCTCTACTAGAAGCAGCTGCTAAGCTCTGTTTGCTGCTTTCAATTGGTTGGCACGGTTGCTGCTGTACGGCTTGCTTTAGCGTACCGCTACTTGCACAGTGTACAGTGCTCGACATCAGACCTGCCTGATTGACTGCCGCCCACTAGGGATTGGGTTGGGTTCTTCCATTGACACCTGCTCGCTTGAGCACTTTCGTCTGGCATAGCCAAAAATGTACATGTGTACGCCCAGCTTACTCACCGAAGTTTGCTGCGTTTTCAAAGTCAAAATACCTATCTCACCCCCACATTATCCCCAAGCCGTAACCCCTATCCCCAGCCAAACATCTGCCTTCAAAGCGGACTTCGATTTGGCGCACCGATGCCGGAAGTCCACGTCCAACCAAACTTCGGCCTCCGGTCTGTAAAATTGGGATTGAATAGGGGGTTCTAGGGATTATATCGGGGTTATGGGGATTATATAGGGGGATATCGGGGATATGGGGATTGTATAGGGTTCCAGGGATTATATGAGGGGTTCTAGGGATTCTATCTAAGAATTATGTATAAGAGGGGTTCGAGGGATTGTATGGACGTCGTAATCATAGGGACTATATAATTATACAGTGGTATAGGGTGGTATAGGGATGATGCAGGGAAAGAACATGGAAGCATGACTAGTTAGGGTTCAGAGATATTGGAGAACATGGATATAGTGGCTTACTGGGATCAGGGTCTCCCAAAATTGGGGGGTCCCAATCATACGCATTGTATAGATTATAATATATCCGGGTTATTGGGGTCCACCCCAGTTGTGGAAACTACCGCTATGGGCTTCGAGCCCGATCTACAACATACAGCCCAAGTGCTTAGATCCGCCGACCCTGCGAGCAGCCGGCGCCATGCAAAATCATACTTTCCGCTACTTCCTTGCACATTCAACCTGGCTCCCCCGTTCTTAAAGTCGTTAAATTAAGATTTTTCATACACAGTTGGGCCGAGAACCCGCCTCTTGTTTTCTTGATCAGTTCCCCTCGGTCTCGTTCAATCCTAAACTCCCCTCCTTCCCTCCCTCGGGCCCCCAGCCTGAAACCCTTCTATCACCCCCCCTTGAACCCTCCCACCCACACCCCGGACCCTAAATGGGTGAGAGTCTTTTAATTGGTAATCCCAGCACCCAAAAGGACAATTACACACAGGAAATTTTTGAAGGGTTTTAGGGGTGCCCCAACACACCCCAAAAAGCGTCATGAGCACAGAGGTTATTGAAAGCTATCCCTGAGGCCTTTCTTGGGCCCGAATTTCGCCTTGATTCAAAGACCCTCAAGGGGTGCAAATGGGGGCTTAAAACTGAGATAATCCAGAAATGGAGTCCCAATGATGCAGATGATGCTGGCCATATGGGCCATCATCATCAGCATCATTGGGGGTCTGCTTCTCCATCTATGCTGTAGCCCTTATGCGCTGCTTGGCCAGGGGGGCTTGCATGAAGCTACCATGGAACCCAAACATTCGTGAATTTGCGGGCTTTATGAGTTTGTTATTCAACATTTGATGGGGCGTTGTCAGGGTTTTCGGGTCCACCTCTGGTGGATTCTGGGGGTTTATGCTCAGTTTATGATGGCCTTGCGCAATCATCAGCCCTTATGCGCCACTGTTCGCTCAACTTTCGCTTTGCGTGGCATTGCCGGCTCTGGGCGCCAGCCTATTTAATACATATTTCGGGAAGCCCATTTAATGATCTCAGAAACAATCGAACACGAAGAAGGCCTCCTGGCTGAGCCTGATGGAGAGCACTCCGCAGTTTGCCAGATCCTGAAAGGGCACTGTGTGGGAGATCACTTGCCGGCTCAAACATGCCCCACCTCTTGCAGTTGCAGATCCTGGTCTCCCAAATGTCCGGCAAGTACGGAGAGGGCTTCTAGGGCGTCACTGGCAGGGCCATGGCAAAGTTGAGATAAAGAGAGGCGACGCCGTCTTGAGCCTTTGTGCCAGGCTTTGGTGCACCGTTGCCAGCATTGGCTGAAAGCGCTTTCAGCAAGGCTTCTCGGCGCATGGGCTGAACATGCGAACGTCTGTTGTGCTCTGGTTTCCGTAGCATCAGCTCAGAACGGCAAGCAGTTGGTTCACTGGCACGACTTATCTGTCTGTCCAGAACCCTCTGTGTGACGATTAAGTTTAACTGTGGGTAACGAAGCGGACAGCAAGCTGGAGCCGGAGGAGTTACAACTGTACGCACGACGGGATGCAAAGGGCTCACCTTACAAATGATGCAAATGAATGGAAACAACAGAAGCCCTTCCTCACGATGGGCCAGCTTGTACTGTAGGACAGTTTCTGCCAGGCCGGGCGTTAGCCTCACACCACAGAGCGGGTCTCCCGGGCCCTGAGGAGCAGTCAGCAGTCAACCCGCCTTGTGGTGCCTGACCCAAACACAGCCGCCTCATCAAATGACAGTTGTCTGGCTCATGCCTACAAACTTGCGCTCTCGCCGATGATGTGCCTGGTAAGCCAAGACCAGCTTGGCAAGCTGACGGCCGGAGAACCCTTCTGTTCGCTTGGCGACCTCGCGGACTGCAGTGGCAATATGCCTCAATTGTCAGACCATCTGATAGCAACTTGGACTTGGCAGACTGGAGCTTTTTGTCATGCAATGTCGGGCTTGATTCCTGCGGTTTAGCCTGCGTCTGTGAAACGAGCGGTTGCGCGTCATCTCTTTAGTGATAGGTTGATAGCAATGACGACTGGAGGTTTTGGGATCTGCTGACCTACCATTTGGCAGATCCTGCAGCTACTTGACACCCAGAGCTCGCGCTCTAAAAGCATCAGTACAAGTTCAGGTAATTTGCCACCAGGAGGAGGTCCTGAGATGCTTTTCCAGACTTCTTGGCTTGCAGAACGTTTGCGTCAGTGCCTGTTAACCAGAAGGGATGCGTGGCTTGCTGAACCTTCTTTAACAATCCCCAAGAGATGGCTAGAGGTTGCTCCGCAAGTTGATCCCATGCATCCAGATGCTGCTGTGGCTCCAGAACGACGTCGTCATCGATCGGAAACTCCGGAATTGGCACCTGAAGCCGAAGGAGAGGTGCAGCAGGCACAAAGCAGAGTCGCACTGTCTCCAATCTGGCCGGTGCTGATCACTGGCGCAAGAGAAACCAGGCACCTTTGCATCCGTGTACTTGTACTTGAAGTACAGATACTCAATCACCTTCAGGTGCATCTCAGCATGAGTCCACAATGAATGTCAGCATGAGTGCCGCTTGACAAGGAAGCGTGACAAGGAAGCGTTTCTTCAATCGTGTCGCCTTCTCAAGCAACTTGCCGGTGATTGTTGGCAGGTGTATCTCGTTTGTCTGACCTTCTTTGAAGCCCTCCTCGTCATACATGCTTGATCATAGGAAAAGTCTCGTTTATGAAGCTGCACGAATTCTCCTTCTCCACCATTTTTTTGAAGGTATCGCACTCGTATGCGATCCGTCTGTCCTGCGAGCAGCTTACGGTTCAGGTCCCGTTCCAAGTCTGAAGTAGGGGTACCGGATCGCACTGGGATTTCGAGACACTTTCGCACTTGCTCGCAAGGCGGTCCAGAAAGAACTCATGACCATCGGCGCTGACCAGTCTCAGAAACCTCGTCTGTCAGGACGCATGCAAAGAGGAAAGATCCTAGTGAAGGACTTCGTCAAGGCACGAGAAGGTCTCCACCGGATCCAAATGCGGATTGTCCATGTCTGCATGCGCCTTGGCTGTGCGGCACTCCAACTAACACGGCAGTCTTCACCTTTGAACTCTCAAGTAGACTCTTGAGGAAGGGCTCCATCTTCCCCCACGGTCTGCTCAGACGAGAGGAGGTTCCTTGAGCCCAAACTCCAGGCAGGCAAGGCTATAAACTTCCAAGCCTGGCCCAAGACTCATGATAAAAAGAGCCAAGCACGAGTAGAAGTGCAAGCTATCCCCTACTCCAAAGTGTTGTTACTATTATTACTGCTGTTATTACTATTAGTACTAGTCTCACTATTTTTACTATTATGAGTTATTGTCATATTTATTATAAATCATTACTATTCTGAGTCCCACCTGTTCTAAGAAGCTCTCATCCAAGGCGGGGTCCACCTGCATGGATGCTTGTAGTTTCCATTTTCTCTTCCATGATCCCTAAAGAACCCTTAAAAAATCACTATAACCTCTATATTATGCTTCCTATATACTCCCTATAATCCCTATGAAGCCCCTATTTTAATGTCTATAATCCCTATATACTTAGGCTCCTACATATACCCCATTATAAACAATTGTTTCCAGTGGTTTGTCTACTATCCCTATAACCCTTATCTAGTCCTTGTATAATCCCGATACAACCCCTATAGAATCCCTATAACCACCCTATAAAACACCTGTGAAATCCCTATATATTTCGGATCCGACATCTAGCGCCAGAGAGCTGGGGCTAAGCACTGGCCTCGATGACCTTACCCCGCTTTGTGGGCGTGTGGATGTGCTCCTTCGCTTCATGTGAGCTCTAGCCTAAACTCCTTAAAAGGGGGGAATATATAGGGGATTATATAGGGGACTACTATAGGGGTTACTAAGGGGGATACTAGGAGTTTAGACTATGGCTCATGTAGGAGTTTAAGGTTTAGGGTTTTAGGGATTAAAATTGGGCTTTATGGGGATTATACAGGGATCATTTAAGGATTACAGAGGGTTATATGGGGATTAAATAGGGTTTTACAAGGATTATAGGGATTGTACAGGGCTTTATAGCGGTTATACATGGATTTTGGGGATGATTGGGCTTCATAGTGATTATATAGGGACTATATACAGCTTGTCAAAGGATTATATAGGGGTTACAGAGGGATCATGGAAAATACAATGGAAACAACTATATTATGATGCGGTATATGGAGGGAGAACTGACTGGGAAATACTAGTGACATGGACAATGAAATGGAAACTGTATTTATGCAGGGCTTTTGTAGGTAGGGAGGCATGGGTAATGATCAACGCTATGCTCAAATAAGCATCGAAATAATATACCCTAGACACTAAACCCTAAAGCTAGTTCTTTGGGCCCCTATAGTAATTTGTATACCTGGCGAGGTAAGAGCTGGCTCCTCCATGAACATGGTCAGCATCCTTTTGCGCTCCTGGCCCAGGAGAATTCAACACAAAGCGCAGGCTGCAAGGTTCTGGTCATGCCTCGATGCTAGGAAGGGGAAACTCAAAGTTCTCATCCTGAAATCAAACTTCTCTCCGATCCCGAGAAAAGATTGCCAGGAGCTCACGCAAAGACAACGTCAGCTAGGGCTCCCGCTACACGGTCTAGAACCGCTCTGTCAAGAATCTCTCGGATGTTCGTGGCCAGCACTACAACGAACCTGTGTTGCGATTCCGATGGCTACATGCCGCTGTGACACAGATGCATTTTCTCTATCACGCGAAAGCTCACAAAACGGTACAAGGCAATGCAAAGTGTGTCAGTTCGGCTTGTCGCTTTCGGTGCCGGTGTGGTGCAAGAAGGCCGACAGCACGTTCCTCGCCTTGCATTCGGCTTCGGTTGCATCTCATACTGCTGCGCAGCAAAACAAAATTCTGACTGTCCCAGGCATGTAGGAATAGTCCGTTTGACAATGCCCAAGCATCTCGCTACAGTGTTTTTCCACAAACTTCAGGCTCAGGTGCAGCTCGGGAGCCTCCTCGCTCATCGAACCGGTGTCAGAGCCACGGCCAGTCCGGAGGAAGGCATCAGCCTATCGCAAGGATGGTGCTTTTGAAGCCCTCTCCAGGACAAGCTCTAGACTGAATGTGTGCAGGCTCCTCGTCGATGAAGAGGATCAAGCCTCGCCTGCTGCAGCTGCAAATGACAACAAGGACTTTGTCACTGATCTCCACATGTCCTTCCTGGATGAGTTGGCCCACGAGAAGAGCTTGTTCAGCTCGTGTACCTGCAGCCAGCCAGAACTTTAAACTCCTTGTGAGTCATGCTCTTGCTTGCCACGCTTGTCTCTCTTTTGCTTTCCGGTGTCGAATGCCAAGATTGGTCTTGCTGGCAGAAGTGGACGGGCCAGTGGCACTCACACGGCCTCTGCATCCTCTCTTTCAGTCCCCACCTCACCTAGCTCGAACGAGCTCACGTCCTGCGTGATGCCGAGCGAAGGCTCGTGAATGTCATCCTCTACCACTCGAAGCCTATGATGTGAACCTGACACTGAACACCGTCTTGGAGGCTCTTGGTGAATGACCTTGCATGATCTTGCTTCAGTGTCTCGACGCAGGGACGCTGAACCCATCATCCACAGGTCTCAGAATCGGTGGTTCGCACCTCGCGGCCTGAACCCCGCGTGAGGAGGCTTTGGATCACGAGCCCTTTGGCTGTCCGGAGCCGGGCTGCGGCTACGGCTGTGGGACCCTCTTGCGCGGCCGCTTCCCCCACTTCTCTCCTGCGCTGGCTTCGCCTGCAATCGCTTGAGAGCAGCTGCCGCCCTATCTGCCTTGGATAATTCCGAAGGATTCGACCTGTCCTTCTTCTTGCGTCCGAAGTCATCGTACTCGCAGTCATCCTCGCATGCTGGCTGTCGACGCTCGACGTCCTGGCGGTCGTTGTAGCCTCACCAGGACATGCAACATGCGTATGGGCCAGCAATTCTAGCGTGTCATTTGCGTTCCTTCAAGCTTCCTACACTCCGAAGATCTCAACTTTGCAAGTAAGACATGCAATATGCTGGTCAGTTTCAAAGCTGACATGGCTCAGCCGGTGGCACCTCCACCGCGGCCACCTTCAGCGTTCCGCTGCTTTTTGCGCTCCTCTGCCTCGCGCTTGGTGCGCTCAGCAAACTCCTCGATCCTCGCATCCACTGGGCGATGAGATTACGTTGAATCAACAAGACTTCCTCGCATATGCGGCCCAGAGTCGGCTTTGCCTGTTTGGCAGCGATTGTTGCGCGAGACTGACCCCCAATGGGGTCATGGATCGTGCCAGGCATGGCGTCGACGGCACAGAAGAACTTGCAGGACAAATGTATTCTGGCTAAGCGGATGACAGTCTACTAACAACTTTCTGGATTCTACGCAGCCTGAAGCGAGCTCAGAGCAAATAATGCTGTGGACGGTTTCCACACATCTTCCCCAGCTGAGGTTGAACATTTCAAGATTGGGTCAGCAGGTGGCGCACGGCGTCCTTTCCAAGAGGACCAACATCTCCGCCAGACATGATAGCGTAGTCTAGGCCTCATGTGACAAAGCTGCTTGCCACAGCAGACTAAGGACTTGCAGCCCAATGATGGAGAAGCAAATGGAAGATGACATGGACGTTTGCACAGCTACAGTCTAAACTCCTAGTATCCCCCTCAAGATTGGAAACCGATTTGCGCACCACAAACGCAGATTCGCACACCAAAAGGGCGGATTCGCGCACTACGCGAAACACGTGATTCATGCACTACGCCCGGCGGATTCGCGCACTACCCCCTCGGATTCGCGCACCAAGGATTTGTGCACTAAAGATTCGCGCACTACCAGGGACCGATTCGTGCACCAAAGAAACGCTGCTCCGCGCACCAAACAGACACCAAAACAGCTGCTTGGCGCACCAACACTACGAGACTTACGCCCAGGGCCCTAAACCCTAAGCCCTAAACCAGCCCTGAACTCGAAACCCTAGAGCCTAAGCGCTAAACCAACCCTGAACCCTAAAGCCTAAACCCTAAGAAAGCCCAAAGCCCTAAACCATCCCTACACCTTAAACCCTGAGCACCCTAAACCCTAAACCCCGAAACCCTAAGCCCTAAACCAACCCTGAACCCTAAATCCTAACCAACCCTTAAATCTCAACCCTAAACCCTCAGCCCTAAGCCCTGAACCCTAAGCCCTGAGCCCTAAACCAGCCCTGAACCCTAAATCCTAACCAACCCTGAAATCTCAACCCTAAACCCTAAGCCCTAAACCCTGAACCCTAAACCCTGAGCACCCTAAACCCTAAACCCCGAAACCCTAAGCCCTAAACCAGCCCTGAACCCTTAACCCTAAACCCTACGTCCTAAACCCTGAACCCTAAATCCTGAACCCAAAACCCTAAACCAACCCTGAACCCTAAACCCTAAACCCCAAGCCCTGAAGCCTCTTCTGGCTTGATGCAGCAGTCAGATTCTGCTTCTGGTGCGGGAGGGGGCAGCTGTTGGTGCTTGAATTGGCTCCTTTTGGTGCATGAATCGGCCTTTTTTGGTGCGTGAACCGGTCTGACGTAGTGCGTGAATCGCTGGAGCTTGAATCGTTGGTGCGTGAATCGTAGTGCGTGAAGCGGGGTTGGTGCGTGAATCGTGCTTTTTCGACCCCCTCAATAACCCTGTAATACTCCCCTATGTAATCCCCGCCCTGAGAGCAGAACCAGACTGTCTGGCGAGCGTTCGGGCGAAGAGCGTTTTGCCCGTGCCCGGAGGCCCATGTAGCAAGAGATGCCTGGGCTGTGTGAATATATGTGAATATTATACGAGGATTGTGGGGATCTTATTTGGAAGACAAGGATGTAAATCTCTCTGACTTGACGGGGAAGACCCTTGGCCTGTAAGGCGTGCCATTCTTCTTGGCATTCACGAGCGAGTTGGTTGTCCACTGCAGCCGCTCTGACAGTTCGTCCTGCAGCAAAAAAAATCCGACAATGGCTGCAAGCATGCTCAGCAGTGCTCAGAAGCCTCCAAAACAATCTTTTCCAGGAAGCCTCCCTGCTTCTTGGAGGAGATCAAGCTGGCGAGGCCATCACGGCCTTTGCTATGAGAAGGCTGTTCCAAGAAGCTCGGCCGAAAGGTTGCCAACTTCCAAGCTCCTCACCCCACGTCAAGCGCGAGGTCTCGCGCACCAAAGGGGGTCGCATCAGACGCCTACAGGTGGCAGGACTCGGCTCCTTCCTGTCACCGTCTTGCGCACGGCACAGCTCATGTTGCAGATGTCGTGAATTTTCACATCTCAGCCAGTGCTGACGTCGCTCTGTCCAAGCGATTAAGAAAAATGCCGCGAAAATCGAGCTTCCTCCAGACTTCCAGGGGTGCTCAGAAAAAGTCTCGAGGGATGTGAAACATGGGAACGGCGGCAAGTCTCGAAATGACATGGCAAACTTTGATCAGCTCTGAAACAGCAATCAAAGCGGCAAGACATTTCCTGCCAGCTTACTTTCATCACTTGTAGCCCGCTCGAGCCACTGCTGGGCGACCTTCAGCCGATGCATGCCTGGCAGGCCTTGCAGAAATCACACACCAGTTTGCCAAGATGTCCTGCTGACTTTGCGCTTCAAGATCCTAATCAGATTGAATGCCAAGCTGCGGTACAAGTAGGCGAGGCGGCGCAGGAGGCTGGCAGGCCTAGCGCAGCATGTTTCTGACAAAGCAGCCACAGGAGTATCAGTGGCTACTGACCAAAGATGGAGCCTCCCGCTAACAGCCGCCTTTGCGGAGGAAGACTTCCCTACCTCAGTCAGTTCAGCAACTTAAGCCCATAGCACGTATGACAGTCTCGGTGTGACGCAGAAACGCAAACGAACTTCTGAGGAGCCAGCTGAAGACACTGTTGGTGCGATGGCGCGTGAGAGAACCTTTCCAACTCTGCAGTCATCAAGGTGCGGTCAGCTTTTAAGCCGGAGCATGACAGCAGGAGCTAGTATGCTAGCATATGCTAGCACCCGTAGCACGTCGAGACGGCTTGACCAACTCCAAGCAAGCTGCGACTGAGCTTGCTGCAGGCGGGAGTGCTGGCGGCAACAGGTTACCCAGCTGCGTTGGCTGAACCACGCCTGCGGCCTCCCAACGGGACCATGCTGCTATCCTATCCGAGCAAGACGAAACTGCGCAACCGTGGATGGCGTACGAGAACACAAGGGAGTGTTTGAATGCCTGTGTGCTGCCAAGGGCAATGAACTCGCCCATGGCATTGGGCTTGAAACGTCTCCAGGTCGGGCGCGGCCTCGGCCAGCAAAGGACAAAGGACTACAAGCCTTGGTCTTTTTTGATGTTTCGTGGAGCCATGAAGTGTGGGCAGTTCCTGAAACAAGCCTTTTGTTTCCTCGACATTTGCATGCACAGCCGAAGCCCAAAACAGATCACCTGAGCCTCGTTTCGCTGTCCTTTCTGACTGTGACTCTCACTCAATAGTGTGCTTGAAGACTGCAAAACAACTGCCAAGCTGGTAGGGATACGAGCTTATCGGATAAAGTGGATGTGCATTTATACAAGTTTGTTCTTGGGCAGCTTCGTCCACCATGCGCTCCTTTCAGCCGACAGAGGTTCGAGTGTTTTGCGATATACTCATGTCTCAGGAAGACACAGATGAGAGAGCTGCGCGAAGATGTTCCAAGCGGTGGTTTCGGCCTGCTGCATGGCCTCGACAGCACGTCTCTTTTGACCTCCCATCCTGGTCGAATGATTTCATCTACCGAGCACGTCACCACTTGGCCGGTGGGCGGACAGCCAGCGGACGCATCACCCAGACCTGGTGAGTTGCTGGCTAGCATGCCACGACGCGCTAAAAGGCAAGCTGCCAATAGAAGTTCTTGTCGTAAATTGAGTTGAGGCAGGAAACAGTAGAGACCCGGAGCAATGCGTAGGTAAGGGTCTACCACCTCGCAGGCTCACATCAGCAACAGTCATGACTTGCAGCAAACACAGCCATTTGCTGAAACAAAGCACCCAACAGCCCGCCCAGAAACAACGGTGTCCTGGCTGCTTCTTCTTGGCAAGACAATCACTATGTCTGCTGAATCCTTACGTGCAGGTGCAAGACGGCAAAGCAGTAGGGCGCAGGTCCTCTTCCTGCGGTGACGCCAGTTGCAGCCTGGTCGCACGTGCACACAAAGCTTACAGTATCCTTTGGTTTTTGCATGTTGGCGTTGCAAGAACTCTGCATGTTCCTCCGATGTGGGGCCATGCCTGTCTTCGGTTGGTGCAGCAAGAGCACCAGTAACAATGACCTCATCTGAAATCGGGCTGGTGCTTGCATCAGTCTTTGAGGTCGCTTGGGTGGTCTGCCAGGCTGCAAGAATGCACCTCCTCCGACCTCCAAGCGAAAGAGCTTGCGTTAATGCTGGTGCTTGAAGCGATGTAGGCCTTGCCTCTCTGAGCCTGCTGGAGACCATGTCAACCCCTCAGCCTTATTGGATTCGACATCTCATGCCAAGTCTTTGACACACGACTGACGTACATGTTCCAACTTTGCCACAAGGCGTTGATCGACGTCACGCGACCTTGCAGTTAACAAGTTGTTGGGATGTCGAGAGGTCCGTGACGCTTCACACTGAATGCACTCTCGTGGCTGCATCTGCTTTGCTAGGTCATGGACCTGTCTTGCGGACAATTCCTAGCTTGTCCAAAGCCTCTGCACTCTGCTTTTGATTGGCCTCCTCGCAGCCTCAAGCAGCAACTGGGGTTAAAAAGGGGGCGGGGCTTATCGCAGGGCTTCTGCAGGGTTACGGCACTTTGGCGGCTGTACTGGCCTGACAGAAATCTGGAACCGAACAAGGCGATACGCCCAGCCGAGGCAGCTTGTGGCAAGACCTGACGTGTCTCAGCTCTACTCCATGTTTTCAGATGTTTTCAGGAGATCCCGCCGAGCACGAGTTGGCCAAAATCTGCCCAATCTCGCCCCAATGATGTTTTGTTCACATGTCATCTCGCTGTAGGGAGTACCTTCCAACGTGTCCTTGTTTCCGCAAGGATGAACAAGCAACTTCAATTCTACGAGAACCTGGCTGGCTTCTGCAAACGGGGCAGGTCGAGCCATCTTGAGAACCAGGACAATTCAGGCGCCCACAGAAAACCCAGTGAAAGTGCAATAAGAGCCAGGACAGCACAGCCAACAAGGCATCTGACGCCACACTCTCTCTGACCCCCGGCGCATACACGAAAAGCAGGTAGGCCAAGAACATGCGAAAAACGCGTCGGAAGGTTGTGAGATGTTGTCAAGGCATGCGCTTGAGAAAATTGTTCTAGTCTTCAGACATTTCCAGTACCTGCGTGATGTGGTAGCCCAGGCAACTGCACTCTGACACAAGTGATGCTAGTAGCTGTTACGCTAAGGCAACTTTGTAGCACCGATTCTTGGTGCTGTTTTGGCAAGCCCTCTGAATTTTGAATCTCTTCATCCGTGGGCCCTGAGAGCTTCGGCAAGATGTTCTGCATTGCAGCAGGCTTGCTGTTCAAACTGTCTCATCGGAACCGCTACACGCAGACCGATTGGCAAAGACTGCTGTGGAACCAAATTTGGGACACGGCTTCAGCTGAGACCAAGATTTTGTCACCGCAGACTGCAGGGTGCCTCAGCCAATCCAGCAGCAAGCTCGACACCAACGTAACCTGAACCTGTTCATGTGGAACAACCCAACAGCATCCAAGCCGGCGTACTTTGACAATGCTGAGGCCTACAATAGCGACGGACTCCAAACCGTCTTGGAGACGACTGCGTAGAGCTTCGGCCTTGAATGTTGGACTGCATCTAGCAAATGGCAAAGCTGCCAGTCGCTGCAAGTTGCAGGCATCTGCGAGGGTACAGAAGCGCAAAGCCTGATGTGGCAGTGAGCTTAAGTTCGTAGTAATGTAACCCAGCAGAGTCCACAAATGCCACGCCCATGCCTTGCCACTCTCAAAGGCTTCCGAAAGCCCTGGCAAGGATCTGGCTTCTGCCTCACCTCAATCTCGCTTGGCTGCAACGAGGTGAGTTGTTACAGGCTGGGTCTTGAAGGTACTCGCAGGCAGCAATCGACATTTGTGTGCAGTGGCGCCCGACATACCAAGCTGATGGCTGAAACGTGAGTTGTTCATTACCCTGTCATGTAGGCTCGGCTGGCACAACCCAATAGATGCTTGTGTAGCTCTGGTCGTTGAACCGTACAAGATGAGTTGTGTACACAAGACTAGTCCTGTGCATGCCAAGGCAACCACCGACGCTGCCCGACGCAACCACCAGGGCGTCAAACGAAAGGGTCTGCGTACCCTCAAGCATAGGAAGGGGCGACAGCTGAGTGTTGATCAGGTTCAAGGATGCCAAACAAGTGAAGTCTGGGAACTGCGCATCTCCGGCCTGGAGTGAGACCTGCGTCCACAGCGCTCAAATTGACAACGCTGGGTTTCTGACAGCAGGGAGAGAGCCTGGCGCCGACGCCAATCCACTTGAGAGGCCTTGCCCCCCACCAGGAGTCAACCACGCCGTAAAAAAACACTTCAGGTGCGGGCAATGCCCTGAAGATGCTGCACTGAGGAGGCGCCCTGCCGGGTTCTGTGAACCGTAAAAACTGGCAAGACTTGGCCATGACAAACATGCAAGAGGGTCCTGCAGCAGATCGAAGTACGCCGGGGCCTACAGTTCGACTCAAGGCAATACAGTATAGATTACAAGCAGTTCTACAGCACAGGCTTTCAAGCACAAGATTAATGATATGAAGCCAACTTCTGTTTCGTAAGACTTTGCCCCAGAGTTCCAGGTGGCATCAGCAGAATAGCACTCCCACACAGGTTGATACGTCCCCAGCCTCTGTCAAGCAAAGTATTTCGAAAGTTGCTTGGTATGGTTTACCCTGCCAGCTCGTCAGTTCAGTGTGCACATGCTTTCTAGACTTTGGTCTGAGCTTTGACGGTTGGCTGATCCCCTCATGCTGTCTCAAATCGAGAGCCTCCCGGTCTTCAAGGGCTGAAGTACACTATGTTGTGACTTGTTGCAAAGTCCTGACTGGAAATCTTTAGCAGAAACGTTGTTTTTGTGAACTGGGCATCCATGCGAATCCCTGTGTACAACCTGCAGAGGCACTTTGCAAACAAGCGTTTTGGTCTTAGGGGAGGGTGGTGCGTATTGCTGAGCCCAACCAACCATTAACCATGATCCCATCTCCTGGATCCATATTTGGATCTCATGCCTGATTTGGTTGAAGCTCGTGTGAAACGACTGGTTGCTTGCCTTGCTCTAATTCATCTCTGGCCTGCTCGCCTGCAATTCTGTCTTGATCTTTGGTTGCGTCTTTGACTCCTTGTGCATCCGCTTTGTGAGTAATTCCAACCAGAGCAATCAGCACGCAGAACACGATAACCAAACCCCAGACTGTGTACCACATGAACTGGAACATCACGTCGAAGATGGTCCAAAAGCCTGTGTTTATATCTGCAAGCACAGTCACAATGAAGTCACCAGTACTTCGTAAGCAAACCAACAACGCCTGCCAGAAAGATTGTGATACTACCTTGTCGCTCCCATGCTCGTCCAAGCTCTTGCCATCGTGCGGCACACCCGCATGGTCAGCAATGTGCACCAACACAGAAAGCACCAACCATGTTGACACAGCAGCAAGAGATGCCTGTAATCCAATCCGAGCACACTTGGTCTTCGAGGTCTCTGTGGGCTCTTCCGGATTTTCCCCCCGGACCAGTCTAGCTAGCTCACCAGCCGTTTCCTCCATACTAGCCTCTTGGAGGATGGTAAAAAGGTTTTAAACTTTGACGGTGTTAAACTTTGAGCCAGCAAATGCCTGCAATCTGTCCGTGACTGCGGCACTGCACAGACAGGTGCAACGTATTTCAGCTGCTTATGCTGAGCAAGGGGCAAACTCATCCAGCTCCACCACGCCTGTTGCATAATCAATCAGCAGAGGCCTCAGCTCGCAATAAGTCACAAGCAAATGTCATCCCTGAACTTGGCGCTTCCACGCTCTGATCTGAAGGGCGACAGCTTCTGGCCACAATCATGCAGAACATGTAAAAAAGGTGACGCGCTCCGACAATATGAGAATCGAATAATGGCTATAACGCAGGGCAAAATCATGAACATCGCAGTCATGCTACCAACCAAGATACATCCAATATACACTATAATCCCTATATAACCCCTATAATCCCTGTAGTTTCCATTTTCTTTTCCATTATCCCTAGATCACCTTGAGCAAGCCGCAGGAAGACATAGCGATCCTTTGGATCTATCAGCTTTACCTGGCCAGGCTCCCAGATGCTTACACAACCCATAGGGATAATGGAAAAGAAAATGGAAACTGGAAACTACAGGGATTATAGGGTTCATATTAGGGTTATATAAGGGTTCTATAGGGGTAATATAGGGATGATGGACAAGAAAATGGAAACTATAGGGATTATAGGGCTTATATAGGGGTTATATAGGGATAACGGAAAAGAAAATGGAGACTATAGGGATTGTTGAGGTTATATAGGGGTTATCTAAGGATTATAGGGTATATTTGGGGTCATATAGGTATAATGGAAACGAGAAAGGGAAACTACAAGGACTGTTGGGGTTCTATAGGGACTAACTAAGGATTCTAGGGTATATTGGGGGTTATGGGAAAGAAAATGGAAACTACAGGGTTCGCAGCAGCCACACGCGGGGACTGCGCCTCTGGTCTTGCCTTCCATGGCATCTGATCCAAGCGCAGTGCCAGGTTCAAGCCTGCAGAGTGCGGGCACATTCGCGCATGCACCTGTCGATGCAGTTCCTTGCTGATCTATTGCAAAACTGGCCCACCTGCCAATCCGCCACCCACGACTACAATCTGTTGGCCTAGGCGCTGCGCAGCTCTTTTGAAATAGGGGTTTCCCAAAATTAGGAGTACCCTTTTGGGGGTCCCTATAATAAGGACTATAGTAGTTTGGGGTCTATATTGGGGTCCCCTTATTTCGGGAAACTACCAAGTCAACTTACCTGGCATTGTGTTGCCAAGGCCACGGCCAGCCTCCCTCCTTGATCGCAGCTGCCTTCGAACCTTCGCAAACGGCATCCCATCCGCAAATCCAAGATGCCCCAACCCGTGATGAGCCGAAGAGCCTGGGCTTTTCCGAGAAGGGCTCCCACACCTCACCGCCAGCCACTAGGCTCATCCCCCTAATATTAACACCCCCACCCCCCCCGGATACTAAATACTCCTAATATACTATAAAATACCACATGATGGGATGGGGGGTGAGGGGAGTATTATCAGCCACAGCCTGTCAGCACTGCGGCCGTGGAAGCTTTTTGCCTCGTTGACCTGGCCATGTGGTTTCCTCAGCCATTGTTGCAGTTCTCATCAATACTCCCCTAGGTGTAACATTTTGGGGGTCCCTATACTAAGGACTATAATATTTTGGGGTCCCGGTATTTAGGGAAACTACCACATTTCCCTATGATATAGTGGTACTCTGTTGGGGGGTATTCATCGTGACAGCGTAGCCTACAAGTGCGGCCTCCTCGCTGCTTGTGGCTGCTCAGAGGCTGCACTGATCTGCGTGGCGAGGAAAAGCAAACCACAACCGTCTTTTGCAGGGAGCCCGCGGCGCCTTGCTTGGCAAAGGCCCTCCAAACGCCTTTCTTTGGACCTTAGACAGCGGGTGCGCGGCAGGTTTGCTATACCAGATCCAGCAAGTCAGTGTGTCTAGTTCTTGGATGCGAGCGTGAGGAGGCGCATTGTGAAGTTGAACACAGGAAGCTGCAAAACATGCCATTGCTTCTGGGACTATCTCGGCGGAGCTGTAGATCTCCAATTGGTCAACAGGAGATCTGGCCTGGTAAAGGCCATGAAGATCTTGCAAACCCTACGCTATATGTGGAGAGCGAATGATCCTGAACTGTTGATTCGTGAAGAGGCTTCCACCCCTACAGACTCCAAGTCTAGGCTCTTGCCGTCTCTGTTTGAGCCAGCTGAACCATCCCATGAAGAACACGGTGCTTTCTGCTGTCCATGACCTGCAGAGGAACCTCAGGTAACCTCAGGTGTATGTGACCTGAACATTCAAATCTGGAAGCTCTCAAGTGTTGGCAGCTTGCCGTGAAATCACAGAACGTTGAACAAGCGTGCACAGGCCTCTCAATCAGGTTGCCGGCAACGCCTGTTGCTGCTCTGGCACCGTACCTCAGGCATTGTACGACTGAGGACATTTGCGGTCTCTTTGGAGTTGGTTGTGTTTCTCTTGTTGGCCTGCGCGCAGGTTTAGCTTCTTGCTAGCTTTGAGAACCTGTAGATCTGCTTTGGGCAGAGGGGTCCGAAATCCAGAATCCTAATGTAGGCAATTTTATTTTGTGCTGATTACGGGACATCATCTTAACATACAAAGAACGATGAACCACTAGCGTCACGAGGCGGTGTACTGCTGAAATCTCGGTGCCCGTTGAAGATTTAACATTCTTCATTCTAAGGTTGATGGGCAAGCCGCCGTGTCCTTGTTGTTGATAGTTTGTCTTCCCGTCCTTCTTACTTCACCATGATTGATGCTGTCATTCATGCCACTTGTTGCGAACATGGTTACGCGCGCGTTTCCAGTCCACTGGGCCTCAGGCACGCCCAAGGCCAAAGCAGTCAGGCCACCAACGAGGACCGTCATCTTAGATCGGTCCTGCACAGCATAAGTTGACATCTTGAAAGATACCCAGTACCTAGCCCTACCGACAGAGGTATGCTGCCTCAAACTCAGAGTACTGCCCCCATGACTGCGTGTTGTGGATTTCCGGACTACGGTGATTCCGACTTCGTGCGCTAAGAGCACTTGCGGGAACCTCGCTTGGACAGGAGTGATCTTCCCTTACGATCCTCAAGGAGCGACCTGCTTCCAGCGCCCAGGCCAGCAAACACAGCCTGGCCAAGGTGGGATTTTCTACCTCAGCCGCCTCAACCAAAAACCGCTCTGGCAACCTGCCTGGATCTGTTCCAGGCGAGTTTTCCGCTCCTCAGCCATCCTTGCCCGCATCTCTCTGAGGCGGACCTGGCAATTCTCTTGATCACATATGCATACACGCCGGCTCCCATTGGAATCAAGCTTGCCAGGCTGTCCTCTACATTTTCTCTCTCCTGCTCAATCCTGCAAGCATTTGGACTTGGAGAAGCAGCAAGCTGAACACCGCATCCGACAATTTTTCCCGTTGGCATGCTTCTGCAGACAGCCCGTTTTCCATTAAATTTGCAACGAGTTGATGACTCGGCTGTCGGTTTCTTCCACCTCCCAGGAGAACCTAAGCTTGGCTATCAGCAACAGGACATGCCCCAAAAGGCATAAAGCCAGCATGACAAAGCCTTGGGCGCTTGGGCATGTGCTCTCGTGAGATGGACACACTCACGTCCACGTTGTACGTCATGTGGCCCCAATCGGTGGGTACCTGCAGCTACCACAGTTTGAGACAGGCACATCGATTTCGATGGCATCTGATCAACACCAGTCAAAGACTGAGAAGCCCGCATACATGATGTCTCCAGGGACCTGAGGCTTCGAGGAGATGGAATCATATGAGCTACAGTCTCAACTCCTAGTATCCCCCTGAGGAATCCCTATCATGCTCCCTTTTATAATCCCCTATAAAACCCCCTTGAAGGAAACTAGAACTAGTTTAGACTATAGCTCATACGACCACTTTCCCTTGACGGCTCCAAGCCTGCTCGCAGTACAGGGGGAGCTGACCCTTTTCAGCAACAGCTTCCTGTAGTGTCTCCACTGGCCTGAACCATCCCGCTCCCTCAGAAACGGTGGTTTCCCAAAATTAGGGGTACCTGTTTGGGGGTCCTTGAAATAAATGTAAGGATTGCAGTGCTTTGATTTTTTGGTGGGGGGTCCCCCTACTTTGGGAAACTACCAAATCAACAGACATTATAGCCCCGACCTCATCTCCTGCCGCTGCAGCCGATCCTGGCGCATTGCCTGGATGGCCTGTCGGATCACTGCCTTCTGCTTCAAGCAATCTGGTTCCCTTCTCGAGCTTCGGGCATGCTGCCGTGAAAGGGCAGATTTCGGAGGAGGGTAGAACCTCACTACCCTGCCAATCTTCCCAACAACAGCGTCCCCCAACTCCAAGGCTCCGGCAGCCACTGCTTCTTTCCGCTGAACAGAGCCGCGTATGCATGCGTGTGGTAGTGCCTGGCAAGAGCTCAAGCAGGCAGATCATGCAGATCACCAGGCAAAGTGATCAATCTTAATCCAGGCTGGCGACGCTGAGGTGCCCCTGAGCCCGCTGGGCCCAGACCAAACTGGATGTTGCCCAGGCGGTAGCGGAGCTTACCAGACTCCTTTCCAACAGCTGATCTGAGCACGCCGCAAATTTGAAGTGTTACCCATCTACAGGCATGCCAGCAGCTTAGGGCAGGGATCCTCTATAGGCTCAATGGACTGCAGAATGTAGTCAACTAAGCCTTGTAAATTGAAGCTGCTGTCTAAGCTGTCCTGCATCCATGGAGGATGGGGTGTAGCATCCTTCTGCACGAGGCTGAGGAGCTTCTTGAACCTTACACAGGGTTTCCAGTCTGAAGCCTCTATAGCAGCCCCTAGCTGAACTATGCCTAGCTAAGCCTCATCATCAGCCCTCTACTTTAGTTGTTGGCAAGAATCCCACCTTGAAATCAGGAAACGAACAAAGGTGTTTCAATATGTATTGAACACTGGTCTTCACTCTTTCTACTGCGTACATGCATGCTTTCTCGCGCTGCACTTTCTCTGTCCTCATCCTCATCGCATGTGAGCTATAAGCTGCGTTAATCCCAGGACTTGCTCTGGGAAAATATGCTGAACACATGCGTTATCTGTCCCATAGTGCGTTAGCGCCCCTACCAGGCGCAGACAGACCGATTCCTTCGGTATACTCCACTCCGGTGCACAGCGAGCTTCGGTTGACCTAATTAATGCTCACAGTCGCAAAGTGTCATATATGGGGGACAATCCACGAGAGCCCACTCATACAGGGTGGGCTAGGTGGGGTGGAGACGATCCCTGGCCTACCTTGACCCCTACATGAGTCTCATGTCTCCACATGCAGGTGTTTCCACATCATGGCCACATGTGTCTCCACATGCATCTGTATATGTGTTTCCACATCTAACCCTGCACGTGTCCTCACATGTGTTTCCACATGTGCGCCCCACATGTGTCTCCTTATGTGTCCTCGCAACGAGCTTCCACATGAGTCCCCACATGTGTCTCCACATGTGTCTCCACATGCGTCACAGCATCTGTCTCCACATGTACTTCCACATGTAGTTGCACATGCATCTACACATGTCTCCACATGTGTTTCCTCAGGCGTTTCCACATTGGTTGCCAGATGTGTCACTGCACATGCCTCCACATGTCTGCACATGTATTTCTACATCTGCCCCTACAGGTATCGCCACCTTTGTCCCCACATGCGTCTCCATGAAAGCAAAGCGTGATCAGCCAGTTTGACACTGAAACCCAATGCTTGGGGAGAAGAAATTCCTGAGCCCAAATATGCCAAGCCTGATCCAACATAGCCGCAAGGAAGCCAGTGCATAATGAGACGCGTGCAGCCAAGCCTGCAAACCTTTACACATGCATAGAAACATGAGCGCTCGCCGAACTTCCTTGTACATTCCGATGCCACGGACAACTTGGGCGGGGGGGGTCCTATCGCTTTGGGGAGTTTTTGCACAGGATTAACATTAACGGAAGGGTATCGCTTTTAGGTGGTTCTGCCATGACACAGTCATGGTTTCGTCTTAGATTGAGGGGTATCGCTTTTGGGGGGGTTCCTATCGCTTTTGGGGCTTTTTGCGCGATTCGTACGTGTGACGGCATTCCTTCTCTTCGTCCCCAATACGCGAGTATTGACCATTGCTATATGCCTTTGTCCTGCTTTGTTTGAAAAACGCAGTGTCCCAAAGACCCGAAGGGCCTTTCTTTTTTTCCAGCCATGTCAACATTCAGGACACTGGCATGATGTCTAGCAGGTAACATTACCTCAGATCCAGCAGTACCACAACCATTCCGGCTTTCATGTGTCAGCTGGGTTCAGTGAAGCTGGGTTGAGTGCGCAGGGTCGTCTTGCTCCACAACTGAAAACACGTAGAGCCTTTAGTCGAAGCGCATTCCAGCGTCTTGTGTTGCACATGACTCCCACATGCTAAGAGCTCTGCGGTGTGCCAGATGACGAATTGACCTTTCCCATGACGTTGTGGACATACCTGCGGCTGCAACATTCTTCTCTTCAGCCATCGAAGAACCCATGAGAAATAGGAACAGGGCACTCTTTCAAAGGGAGACGCCGTGCATCTTTGGCATCGGCATCCCCAAAATCTTCTGGGTAAGGAATGGTCACGGCCTGGCACGGTGGCTCCAACCTGCCTTCACACCAGAACACTAAAGGCTCAAATGTGCTTAGTTCAGAACTGACATGATCGTTTCACCCACCTTGTTTGTAGCACCCAAGGATGCGCACCAAGGCAGCTGGAATTGCAAGTGGAAACCATGGCCTTTCGAACAAGATAACGCAGCGACCAGCGCTCGAAGGCTGGCATGTTCCTGGCACCGCCACCTTGACCAAGGTTTCAACGTTACATCCCCAATGTGCCCGAAAATAAACGCATTTTCAAAAGCTGGATGAACTGTCAAACGCTGCCAAGATTTCAGTGCGCCACGCACCAGGAGTGGGCGACGCAGGGACAGGTAGTCATTAACGAACGTGTCTGCAGAGAGCTCCTGTCATTCTCGAGCGTGGGCTCAACATGCAGGCAGACCACACGTATCCTTACTGGCCTCTGCCATCACGATAGCAACTTCACATGTTCGGCTTTCTGGCCGGCCCTTTCAGCATTACATCCGTGTGGTGCAAGAAGCTGCGCAGGTCTGTGCTGGTCTGAGACCGCCACCCAACCTGCTCCCATGCTCCCTCGCTCCCCGCGATCACGCCAGCCTTGCACAAATTTGATTGGCATTCTGAGGCTGTGCTGCCCAAGCTTTCCACACTGCCTGCAGGCAGCAACTCGGGCAAAGATACCTGCAGTTGACAACTTCTACTATTTCAGCAAGTGTGTATGCATGGCAGTGGTGAGCTAGCTCTGCGAAACTCTGGCCTCCCCAGTCATAGGGTCTGGTCCGGCCTTAGTACCACATCGGCATTTCTCAAGCTGATGGGTCAATTTTGGGGTCCTAAGCGATGACCACTTCATCTTGGGGAAAAATGGTGGTGTTGGGGATGGAGGTGATCTGGCAAAGAGGCTACTGTCTAAACTCCTAGGATCCCCCTTAATATCCCCTATAG